CTGCCCGAAAACCTCCAATTAATTTGGACAGTTAACTCATCAGACGCTGCAGCCAAGGCGGGGCTGCCCTGTGCACGCGGGAGTGTCGGTGCCACTGGGTGACACGGGGGGCTCCCGAGGGCCCCGGAGAGGGGCGGCACCACCTAGAGAGGGCAGCCCCTGGACTCACAGCCCCCCAGAGGCGAGACCCCCCGGGGCTGATGACTCGCGGCCTGGAACAGGGCTCCAAGAACGTGCACTTCTTTATCTTTAATGAGACAGAGTCRCCCTTAGTTGTCCAGCTGGCCTTGAACCCTGGGCTCCTCCGGCCTCAGATTCCTGAGTAGCTGGGACCCCGGGCACGTGCCACCACACTCGGCTGGAGAATTCATGTTTCCAACAAGTTCCCAGGGACCCAGAGGCTGCGGGGCCACTCCAGACCACATTTTAAGAGCCACGACTCCAGGTGAACTCCATTTGAAAACAGCTGAGATATAGCATATTCAAAAGTGGTGTAAATACCACCCCTAGAAAGTTCTAGATGACTTCATTACCCCCCATAGAAACCCAGTGCCCAGTCGACGTTGCTCACCCACTGGCCTCCAGAAACCACTGACTTATTTTCTGGCCCCATTGATTGGACTGGCMTGGGTATTCCATTGAAATGGTATCGTAACATGTGGCCTTCAGTATCCGGCTTCTGTCACTTCATAGTGTTTCCAACATTAGTGTTTATAGCAGCTAAACTATGGAACCAACCTAGGTGCCCTTCAACAGATAAATGGATAAATAAAATGTGGTATATGTACACAATGGAGTATTACTCAGCCATAAAGAAGAATGAAATACTGGCATTTGCTGGTAAATGGAGGGAACTGGAGACTATCGTGCTAAGTGAAATAAGCCAGTCCCCCAGAACGAAAGGCCAAATGTTTTCTCTGATATGTGGATGCCAATTCACAATAAGGGTGGTGCTGGGAAAGAATAGAGGGGCTTTGGATTAGGTAGAGAGGAGTGAAGGGAGGGGAGGGGGAAGGGGTAGGAAGGAAAGTCGAATGAATTGGACATTAACACCCTGTGTGCATATATGACGACACGACTGGTGGGACTCCACATCACGTACAAGCAGAAGAATGAGAAGTGATACTCCAATTACGTATGATGTATCAAAGTGCATTCTACTGTCACGTATTAGAACAAATAGAAAAAAGATCCTGAGCCCCTTCTCCACGAAGCCCTATTAGCTCTTTTAAAAGCTGCTCATAGCCAAAGGGTGGAAACCAGCCAAATGTCCACCCACTGGAGAATGCACCAGGCGTGGCCTACCCAGTGTAAGGGAGTATTACACAGCTATAGAGGGACAGAAGTAAACAGGTGCTCCAAATGGGGACACCCGGAATAGGCCAAGTGAAAGTTGCCACATATCACGTGATTCATTTATATGGAATGTTCAGAAGAGGTAAGTCCAGGGAGACAGGAAGTCGATTTGTAGCTGCAGGGACTGGGGGCAAGGACAGTAACTGCTCATGGTTATGGGGTTTCTCTGGGGGATGATGGAAATGTCCTTGATTGATTGTGGAGGTGGTGGCGTGACTTGGTGAATACACTAGGAGCCACTGGATTGGGCACTTGAAAGGGATGAATGTGACCCCAAGTGAATGCCATCTCAGCACAGCCACCTCGTGGACATGCTCGGCCACCGTGGGAGCTGGCTGGTTCCTGCCCTGAGCCTGCAGTCGAGCTCGGTGATTGACAGGATGCCTCTCTGGAATCCTGGCCTTGACTCACAGGGTCAGGAGGTGCTCCATCTGTGGTGGCTCCCACGACCAGGGCAGGACTGGTCCAGGACCCCACCATACGAACTCTGGGGCCTGGGCCATGCGGAGCCCGAGTGGAGCCACCAGGAGCCGCGGCATCAGCAGGCTCCCCGGTTTTCCCAGCTGGAGGGAGTGGGGGATCATGGAGGGCCATTTCTGCAGTGCCAGCTTCCTGGGCTCAGAAGGACCCAAGACCTCCTCCTCCTGGCCAGCACGGCGCTCAAGAGCCATCCAGAGCTGAGGAGGGTAGGGGGGGGAGAGGGAATCTACTGAGCACCTACTGTGTGCACAACGGTGTGCAGTGACCAYGGCTACATCTTCACATCCACTGTCCAGGTCAACCCAGACCCTGGGGACATCAGCCTACTTTGTGGATGAGGGACAGAGGTTCAGGGAGTGATGCCGCTGGCCCAGGGTCACACGGGGGTGAGAGGCAGAATTAAGATTCAAATSCAGGACCTGGGGCCTGGAGTCTGTCCCCGCCAGTCCCTGGCAGCACAGGAGAGCTGGCATGGGTCTGGCCATGGCCCATCCCTCGATTCCTCGATGCTGCATGGGTTCCCAGCTGGCCCTGAGGATTTCCCAYGGCCCGGCCCTGGTTTTCCTTCCTGGTCCTGTGATGCCTTCTGAGGACCCAACCTGGGAGACCCCAGTCCTACCCACCCTGTGGATGCTCCATGTCCCTGGCCACTGTGCAGTGGATAAGCCATGAACTAAGATGGGTGTGGGGGGTCCTGCCACTGGACACRCGGGATTTCCCTGGCCTGGGGTCTCACTAGCCGGCTCTGGCTTCCTGTGCTTCCCTGCCTGTGCTGGGGTCCCCGTCCCCTGGCTGCCATTGGCACCTGAACCAGTCTCAGCCAGCTCAGGCAGCAACTCTGCCCCTGCCCCCTGCTTGGCACACGGAGAGGGACAGGAGGAGGAAATGACCTGGAATCCCATCTGTGGGGACGGGGTGGTGGGGGAGCTGTCCCTGGGACCCAGGAAGCCAGGCCTGTTCCGAGGGCAGAGAGTCGGGCATGGCCAGGGAGTTCCCTGCACTCGGCTCACTGAAGAGCCAGGCCCAGGGGAACTTCTGGATCCTCTGGTTTGAGGAAGAAGGTGGGTCAAGTCCCGCAGGAAGGGATGCACTCCCCAGGGGGCAGGGAACCCGGGGACTGGAGGCCCTGGCCATGGGTTCCAGCCCCCCGGGATCAGCTCACTCTCTGCCCTGGGAAGCAGCTCATCTGAGACTCCTGGCAGTGTCCGGAGGAGCCCAGGTCCCAGGACAGGAGGTGGGAGAGGTGGCTGGTCCCAGGGTCTCCCTGCCATCCCAGTAGCTGGAGGCTTGAAGGAGTCRGAGGCCAGCTGTCCTTCCACGTGTCTGCCCACTTTACAGAGCAGGATCTGGCCCAGGACCTGGCTTTCCTGTGRACCCCGATGGGGGCTGCACTGGGGCCAGATTCAGATCAAGTGGCCGGTGGTGGGTGGTGGCTGTGGCCTCTCAGCCCCACGTCTGTGAAATGGGGACACCAAGTCCCACCTCACAGAGTGCAGGACAGGTATGCAGACCACCAGAGAGCAGCCAGCCCTGGCCCAGCCCTGCAGTCTGCCTGTTTCCTGGAGTGACGCTGCGTCTCTATGGCTGTGGCCACAGCTGTCCTTGGCACTGGTGTCCAGGCCCCAAGGGACGCAAGCTCCTTTGGGCACTGAGGGTTGAGTGCCTTCAGTCAGACCCACGTACTCAGCAGAGGGACCGGCTGCCCGCAGGACTGCCAGGGCTGTCAGGGTGGCACCCAAGGACACGTCTGCACCTGTCARGAACTCAGGCCCGTCCTGCTTTAGTGACCCTTGAGTCAGTCCTCAGGGTGGACATGCTGCCCTCCCACCCAGGACCCTGCCATGTGGAAATACTCCCTCACCTGGTGACTCCATAGGGGACCCAGGATCTGGAGACCACCACCTCATGCAGGGCTCAGGGTCCAGATGGCCCCAGGGCCAACAGCCACCCAAGTCCAGTGTGGCCTTGCTCCCACCAGACCAGGCGGTAAGCAGGGCTCCCGGGCAGGTGTGTTGACGTTCCAGGAGGCACAGGGGTGGCCTTAGACGCCAGTCCCCTTGCCTGGCCAGCACARGGGGCCTCGGGAGGCTGAACCCCAGTGCCAGACTCCTCTGGGAAAGGCTGGGAGGTGCTGACCAGGGACAGCAGTTCCTAACTCAGCTGGTCCCAGGAATCACCTGGAAAAGCATTGACAATGAGGATTCCCAGGCCCTGCTCCAATCCCTGAAATGCACCAGTTCCGAGCTGCCCTGGGCTTTGGGAAGAGCCTGCCGGTGGCTACGAGGGGCAGGTCCTGAGCCTCCAGTCCAGGAACTCCAGGGAAACCCCGTGACCCAGCGGAGCCCGTATCTTCAAGCCGCAGCCGGGGACAGAGTGACACACCCTGACCGGCTCRGGCCGTCTACGTGGAGACAGGAGCATTTCCCCAAATATGGGACAGGGCAGCCCCCATGCCCCCAGAGTCCCCCTGAATCAGTGCTGGCTGAGCCGATGTTAAACAGAATTCTTTTCAGGAAAAAACATCAAGTTCTGGCTTTGAAAGTTCTGGAATTCTGCTGCCTCGGAGGATGGCGGACACCAAGACAGAACCCCAAGAACAGGCCCCCAGAGCTCAGGCCTCGTTCGCCCTCACAGAAGACTGGGGTAAAGCAAAGGCGAGGGGTGGGCCTGGGGTCCTCTTGCATGTGAGCTCCTGAGTTCACCCATTCCACAGAGAGCCACTAAACACCTGTGAAGCCCAGTGACACCGATATAGCAGTGAGCAAAACAGACAAAGGTACCTGGCCCTGGAAGCTACACAGGAAAAATATAAAGTATCTTAAACAAGGTGGTCTGGGAAGGCCACAGCGATAGGATGTGTTTAAGCAGAGCCCTGAAGGTGGCGAGGGATGAGCCAGCGGGTAACTGGGGGTAGTTCATCCCAGCAAAGTGCAGTGCAAAGGYCCTCAGGCAGCCTGGAATGGCAGCAAGGACACCAGTGTGCCACAATGCAGATGACATATTCCTTGAGGATGTCCTAAGCACTCTGGTGACCCGAGGTGGCCCCTCGGCACCAGCCCTCCACCTCCCTCGGGGATCCAGGCCTCTGTGCTGGCGACCAGGGCTCGGTCCGGATGGAGCCCACGGAGGCATGGCTGGAGCACCCAGCACCCACCCCAACGTACCAGGCATGGAGAAGGGGGACAGGAAGGCAGTCTCCACCGGCTCTGGCTCCGGGGGTGGCGGCTGGGGTGGCGGCTGCTGCTCCTGGTCCTGCTGAGGGTCCTCGGGGTTTTCCACGGGGACATTCCCGTTCTCGATGTTCTCGTGTGTCCCGTTCTGAAGCGGCTTGCTGCTCACACTGTTGGCTGAGCTGATCAGTCTCTGCCGCTGTGTGGGCGGGAGGCAAGGCAGATACCAGCAGGTGACACGGGGTCACGCGCCTGCCCTGGTCCCTGGTCCTGTGTACACCCAGCTGACAGGTTTCCAGGACAGAGTCCCCAGGGTCACACTCAAGGAGTGTGCACGGGGCCTGACGGGCAGCCACCTGGCAGAGACCACAGCAGGCCACGCCAGGAAGGACGAGGGTGAGGAAAGAATAAAGACGTAGGGAGGAGGGGCTGGGCTGGGTCCACCCCCAGGTTCCCCCGCAGGCTCCTTCGGAGTCTAGACTGAGACTGGCCTGGAATCTGCTGGCCCCTCTCTAGTCGTGTGGTTTGGTGAATGACTTCACCCGGCAGACACCCCGGAACCATCCAGTGATGGTCGGTGGGAGGATCAAAGCTCTAACGCAGGAAAAATGTCCAGCATCTTCCTGGCACGGAGCAGGCGCCCATTTTACTAGAAATGGTCAGCCTCGGGTGCAGCCCCGGGGGGGCCAGGACAGAAAGTCCAGGAACAGCCTTGGAGAAAGCCCTCCTTCCCTGGGCCCCGAGTACCCAGCCTCTGCAAACAAGGACCCCCGTGTCCCCTCCCTCCGTGTCATAGGCACTGCTGCCACTGAATGATTGGAGCTTTGCAAACCTCTCTGTGACATTGTGGAATTAAAATGACAGAAGGAAAAACGAGCCCAGAGGGTCTTAATAATCCATTTTGAACTGGGCCCCTGGGGTTCTTATTCTCCCCCTGCCATGCCACAGTGGGTCCCAGAAATCACAGCTTGAGCAGCAGGTGTGTCCTGCCAGTGTGTACCCCTGAATCTTCAGAGCTGGACTCCGCCTGTCCAACAGCCCAGACAGAGAAACTGAGGCCCAGGGAGATTGAGTTAGTGGCCAAGGTGAGATTAAAACTCTGGATTCCCTCCTCCCGAGCCCAGCCTCTCTGGTCCCCACGCTGGCTAAACCTGGTACAGGGAAAGAACATTCCCAGTGGCTTCTAACYGTGGGCTGGGATAACCAGTATTCACCTGCTCATCAAGACCTGCGATGCTCCTGCCTACAGAGGCCATAAAAAAATGCGACAAACCCAAATCCCCAAACTCGTTGGTTAACAGGCACCCCCCCATCACACTTAATAAAAGTGGGGCAGGATTCGCTACAATGTCATCCATACAAATTTTACTCCTTTGGATCAAAATGATTCAAAGCTTGGCACAGTGTTTTCCTTTCTTAACCTACTTTGCACAGAGAGGGCCGCGACGTATTAAATCAAAGCACAAGTGTTGACCACAGAACCTTCGATGGCTGTGAAGGTGGCTCTGGCCCACAACCTGGTGCTCATCACAGCCCCTGCCACTGCCTCTGAATAAGGACCTGAGTTCCCACGTGCACCCAGACAGCAAAGACTGCAGAGGCCGGCCAGACACACGCCTGTTGTTTCTGAAATACTGGTTAATTGATACGTTTTAAAAACGGTTTTGCATTTATCCCTGAAGTGCCCAGGGCTGGCTTGGATGGCTGGAGGGACCCTTTGCTGCCTGTGGACGATTCGGGCCTCTGCAGGCCCCAGGGCTGCCCTGTCCCTGTCCCKGTCCAGGGGGACTCACCTCATTGATGATGATCCTGCTGGCCATGCGCAGCCGGGTCCTGGGCCCAAACTTGTTGGTGATCATGATGCGCAGGCCCGCCTCGGGGAAGTTGAACTTGGGGGGGCTGGAGCTCAGGATCTCGTCCACCATCACCACGGGGTTCTTGCCGTACTGCGGCTTCTCCTTCACTATCGACACAACACCAGGGTGAGTGCTGACCTCCCAGAGGACGGCAGTCAGGTGCCAGGGCCACAGACTCCCTCTGGCCCCGAGGGCTTCCTGGGGCTGGGGTCTGGCACCTGGAAGTCTGGGGGCCTGGCTGCAGCTCCTCCCATTAGTCAAGGTGGGCCACTGATTCCCAAAGAGCCACCTGGCATGTCTGACGGCCCCCAGCGGGGCCTGCAGAGGTGCTCTTGGGCAGTCCTCTGCATCTGGCCCCTTCGTCCATGGATGTCCATCTCCCTGTCCTCTGGGGCCAGCCTAAGGCAAGTGCAAGGGTCTTTCAGGCCCCACTAAACCTCACCAGGGACGTCCACCTGCAGTAGACAGGTCCCAGAGCCTGTTTACTTTCCTTTCTTAACATACCTTGCACGGAGAGGGCCCTGACGTATAAAATCAAAGCGCAAGTACTGACCACGGAACCTTCGATGGCTGTGAAGGTGGCTCTGGCCCATAACCTGGTGCTCATCACAGTCCCCACCATAACTGTGGCAGGGCCTTCCTCCCCTGTCTTCTCCCTGCTCGGGTGAAACTTTACAGACTGGCAGGGGACGCTTCTAACCTTGTTTCCCGCAGGGAAGCTGCAAAGTCAAGGATGGGGATCTCGGACCCTGGACCCGGCCCAGAGGCTCCTGAGAGGAGCTGCTGGCCAGCCCAGTGTCTCGGGCGAACCCTACATGCCCTCTCTTTCTCCGGCCCTTTCCTTCCACTCAGGGGCTGACCAGAGCTCCCCAGACCTGGGCTTGTCCCTTGACACCTTCTCAGATATGCTCGGTGTTAGTATCCTGGGGGATGGACCCTGGGCTCCAGATCCCCGGGACAGCCTAGTAACCGAGCGGCTCATGAGCACAGCACATGAAAGAAGCCCACACTGTCCCCTCTGAAGGGCTATGAAAATGGGCAGCTGTCACACTGTACCAGGTACCAGATCCCACCATGTCCTTCGCGAGTAACAGGGTAACCAGGGGGCAGGTCCAGGAAGCACCGTCTTGCAGGAGTTAATGGCACAGAAACGCACAACCCTCCCCACACACACCATGCACACACACACACAGAGGCAGCAAGGCTCAGCAGACAGGAGGCGTGTGGTTAGAAATCAGCTGGAGGCCCGTCGGGGTGCCACGGACACTGACCTCCAAGAGGCGTGCAACGTGGTGTTACTGATTGTTTAGATGCACGTGTTACTGGGGGGTGAGAGCAAGTTACTTACAGTTCAGGAGAGTTAGGGAGCAGAGGCCAACAGATTGGCAGAGGTGATTAGCGTGCGGTGGAGCCTGGGGCGGCATCTTGATGGTGGCGGAGATGCCAGGGGGTTATTTGAAGGAAGGTGTTAGTAGCAGGCTCCCTCCACGGGGACCCTTGATCTTGGGGCTGCCATCTCAGAGGCAGGGGACGCCATAGAACACCGCTGGCTCCCGGCTCCCTGCTGCAGAAGCAGCCCCGCCCCAGGCACCACTTGGGGAGGGATGGGACTCAGAAGGAGGGAGACTATGGAGCTTCATGAGGCAGGAGCCATGACCCCTGCTTCCTGGGACACTTTGTCCTGGTGCCACCCATCAAGTGAGAGCATGCCGTGGCACGTCCAAGTTGCCCCAAAGGTGACTTCATTATAGCCTGTTTTCTTGGCAGTTCAGAAGCACAGGTATCGCCCCTCCCCTCCTGCTCCAAGCTCAAGTTGTGCCCAGGGCCGGGGCAGCCTGGAAGGTCCCCTTGTGAGTTCTCTGAGCAGGATGGCTGGCTATGGCATGGCAGCCAATGGGCAGGTGGCCCTGGCTGTCAGGCTGTGAGCAAGGTCACCTGAAAACCAGCCAGGACACTGATCCACTAGGTTGAACTAGGACCCCCGAAAACACTCAAGTGCATAAAGGTGTTTGCAAGAGTGGTGGGAAAAGGTCCCCATGAGTCTGGGTTTTTTAAGTTTTTGATTTTATGTGGGAAACGCTCCACTGAGAAGAGCCAAGTCAGGGTTGAGAGAGCAGAGGCTTGCTTGCTTGCTTGCTGCAGGGCTGGGGATGGAATCTCCCACTGCAAACAAGGGGTGCCTCTCACAGGGCATGGGGGGGTGGCCTACACTGCCAGCTTCAGGGACAGTAGGCAGCTCTGGGGACTGGAACCTTGCATGCACTAGCCCATGCTCTACCACGGAGCTGCATCCCAGGCCAAGAGGGCTTCCTGAGAGAATCCACTAGCTGGTGGTCCTTGGAATCCTCGGCCACCCTGTGGTCACCGGGGGCTCCCACCCCCGATTTGGTCAGGTCTATTCAGGGGACAGAGCACAGTGGCACCCCACACAGGGTCCTCGGGGAGCCTTTCATGGGCAGCAAAGACTCGGGCTAAGACACCCCAGGGTCTACCTCTCCAGCTCCAGGAGTGCAGGCCTGTGCCTTGGACCCCCACCTCCGGGACCTCATGCCCTTGCCCTTACTGATGGCCAGAGCGAGACCTGGTCCTCCCTGCTCCCCAGGGATTGAGGGCAGACTCATGAACAGTCTACAGTTTTCTAGAAATTACCCTGGACTTAAAGAGTCTTGGGGGAGATAAAATTATGGGGAAGCCCTCCTGCTGCAGACACAGAAGGGGTCAAGACGTCATGACTGAGCTCCCAGAGGCGCCACGCGTGGGGGTGACAGATCTCCCGGGAGGTGAGAAGCTGAATTCTCCCACTGCAAGCAAGGGGTGCCTCTCACCGGGCATGGGGGGCGGCCTACTCTGCCAGCCCCCGGGACAGTAGGCAGCTCTGGGGACTGGCACCTGGGGAAGTGGGCATGTTCTGCTGGTCTGAGTGACCCTCCATGTGGTGCTTCTCTTCTTTGCTACGAAGGTCCAGGGGACCAGGAATCAATCACCACGTATGCGCTGGGCAGGGGCCAGCCTCTGTCCCACCAGACCTTGGGAACTGTGATGGGCAGCTCAGAGCCACTGTGACGGTGGAGCTGAAATCCCCACAGTGGCCAACATGGTCCTGCCCCTCTGAGGACATGTCCGGGAGATGGGCTCCCCCTGGGACATCCTACTGGACATTCATGAAACACCCACGGAGAGGGAGGGGCAGACCCTCGGGTGGGCAGGGCTCTGGAGCCTGGCTAAGGCGGCCTTCAACACCCARGGGCAACCACAGGGGGCTGCTGAGCCCCTGCCTCTCCAGATACTAATGGTGACAACCACCAGGCTCAAATGCTGTTCTGGAGCGGGGCAGAGCGAGCTTCCGGCTGGATCCAGATGTCCAGAACCCCTACACTCCAGGAAAGAGGGGAGTCCAACATGAGCAGAGGTGACCAGGCTGCTGYCCCGGGGCCCCCTCAGGGCTCTCTAGGGCTGGCCAGGGGCCCTTTTCCCAGCCTTGCTCTTCCCCTGGGCAACTGTCCCTGGACAGACTCCTGCAGGCCTGGGCCTGGCACTGCAGAAACCCCAGGGAGGACAAGCCTCTGTCCTSGCAGCCCTCAGCTTCCTGTCACAGGCCCTGACACTGTCGGACACACTGTGGCTCATCGGAAAAGCCGAAGCGGCCTCCACCTGCTGCCGGGARACTGCACGCTGTCACTCTCGGCTTTCTCCTTCCTGGTACATCGTCCCTCCATCCTTCTCCCACCTATGCAGACAGGCGTCTGAACCACGTCTCAGACACAGACCGTCCCTTCCCACTGAGGGTCCATGTGACCAAAGGTAAAAGGGTGACCGTATCGGGGGCGTGTGCGTGCGGGTGTGTGAGGAGAGAGAGTGGCTTCCRCGGCCAGCGTCTGGCTCCTGTCTGCTCAGCCTTACCTTTCCTCAGCAATGGCACCGAGGGGTCATCATAGCTACCGTCATAGAAGTCATTACCATCTTCCAGCTCGTTGCTGACCGGGTTGCCGTTGGCAATGCTCTTTTGTTTGGTTGTGAAAAAGGCCTGCATCTTCACATTGTACCTGGGGGTCGGGGAGGACGGGAGGTCAGAGCAGCACAGGGACTCCCACTGACCAGGTGGGGCATCTGCTGTGGCCAGCACAGTGCTGGCCAAGGCGAGCAGCCCGGGAGGGGCTTCACCCAAACTGACAGCCATTCCCAGCAGGACCCTTGGAACAGTGTGCGGGCTGGGGGCTTCCTGGCGGGTCAGAGACCTCTTGCCCAAGAGAATGACTGAGTCCTGCAGCTGGACATGACAAACCTGCCCTGATAAAGGACTTCCAGCCCAGCCCACGGGTCAGGCCTCTTCCCCAGCAGCGACTCTTGCTCACGTGGGCTACGTCACTCGGAGGCAGCAATGCCATCCCCCGAGAGAGGAACCTCTCACCATCCCCAAGACCCCCGGCTGGCTCCTTGCTGAAGAACCGCCCGAGGAGACTCCTGCAGGGTGACAGTTTATCTCCCATTCTTACAAAACACGGAGGACATTTTATATCAATGTGAGGATTCTCAAAAAACCTGGAGTGTGGCCTTTCTAGAAAATGACCCATAGAGGTGTGAGGAAGAAGAGAAACCCGGATGACTGTCCCCTRCTCTGATCAAAGGTGGGAGCAGGACATGGAAGGGGGTGCCCACAGCCCGAAGGAGGAGGAGAAGTACTTACTTCATGATCAGAATGTAAAACCCATACAAGACGATCAGCACCAAGCCTTCCCACCTCAGAGAGAGAGAGAGGAGAACGCGGTTAGAACCCGGAGGCCATGACCTGGGGACCCAGGGTCGGGATGGCTGGGGCAGGCCAGGGAGCAGTGTGTCCTTCCCGTCCCATCCCAGGGCCCATCCCAGGACTCGGGCACACAGGTGGGATGGGTCCGCCTGAGGCTGCYGGCCAGGGGGAGTCCTCTTGGTGATGGATCAGAGAAGGCCCAGGGGGGATCATCTCAGGACCCAGCCGAGCCCCACCGGAAGCCACCGGGAAGGAGGAGGGTGGGGCAGCCACCTCAGGGAGGCAGGGGCCTGGATTCCACTCTGAGAACCTGTGGTCACTCGAGAGTCTGGTCAGGGACCCGAAGAACTAGGGTACAGGCAGAAGGGACCAAGTCCCCAGGGAAGGGGTGGGGCAGGGTGCTAAAGCCTCCAGGGCCACCCACTGGGCATATAATGGAGTAGTGGGGAGTCAGCCTGGAATGTTCCCTTGTTGCTCTTTAGAAATGGTCCAACCCTGGGGGAGGGGGACTGTGTGGGTTTTGAACCTCTGACCACAAGCCCCTGGGAAGCCACAGTCCTCTGTGAGCTGGGCATGGGCTGCAGTCATCTGAGGAACTTCCTTTGCTAACAGGGAGTCCACAGGCCAACAGAGCCAGAAGGGGACTTGCAGACCACCCAGCCATCTGCCCAGCTCCTTCCACACTTSAGCAAAACGAGACCCAGCAGTGGGGAGACTCCAGGGCTGCATGTTGGGCTGGGGCCAGGGAGGGACCACACCTGCTTTCTCCAGGCCCACAGCACACAGCTGCTCTCGTCAGGAAGCGGACACCCCGAGGCTGACCATCTGGGGACATTCCCTAAAACAGACACCTACAGCGTGCAGACTCTGAATCACGTCCAGGAGCCGGCGAAGGGCACGGCTCTGCCCCAGGAGACACCGTGCCTGTGGCATGGAGGGGAGGTCTCCACCTGTCCCTTAGGATTTGTGCCTTACGTATCTTAATGAAGGAATCAATTCCTGCCTCAACGTCACAAAGAGGAGTCCCAATATTTTCTTCTGAGTTCTTTTTAAAATTCTGCTTTTTATAGTAAGATTTGAATTCACCTGAGGTGAGAGGGAGGGAGGTCATGGGGACTGGCCGTTAAGGCACCAGCCCTAACTCGCTGCCGTGACACCTCTGTCGCATCCCACCCCAGACCTAGGCCAGTAATGTCTCCCACGTCGGCCACAGCTCATCCTCGTGCAAGCCACCATACTGCGGTTCTTTTAGTGTATGATCTATTTTGTTATCCGTCAGGTGGACATATCGGGGGAAACACCTTTCTCACTTTGAAAACACAAAGGCAAGATGGCTCGGCACAATATCTTTCAACGTTCACAGACTAACAAGCCCAGGTCTGTGGAAGTAATTCTAGGAATGGTTCAGTGAATCCCACCACCAAGGACACAGGAAACCAACAAAAACAAGAGAAAACCCCCCAAAGAAAGATGGATTTTAAAGACTTACCACACAATTTCTTCATCATATATGAACTGGAAGGCAAAAGGAGCCAGGGGGCATATTTATTCCAAATGAAAAACAAGGCAGACCCCTACACACCCAGGGCCACCCCCTACTGGCCTGTGACCTGCTCTGCTTCTCTGTGACCTGCTCTGCTTCTCTGCTGCTCACTACAGCAGGTGACCCTTCCTTGGTGGGACCTGGGCCAGCGGTGGGCTGCCTCATGTGGCCCAGGTTCGTGTGGCTCTCTCAGGACAAGTGGCCCGTGCTTCTCTAAAGCTGCTGGGGCTGACCTGGTAGCAGTCCCCGTCATCATGCAAATAATTGCTAAAATCATGGAACTTCAAAGACCAGAATCTACCTCCATGTCTACACCTATGTYTACACAGAGGGTGTGTGTGGCAGGGTGGGGCTTCAGCTAAAAAAATAGAGTGGCCCCTTTGGGAATGCCAAGGGGGAGGTTCAGCTTGTGTACTTTGAAGGCAGCTGAGGGGTGACAATGGGGACAATGACACTGCTCCATGTAGAGGTTGATTTTAGGTGTTAACTGGCCTGGGTTGAGGGATGCACAGGCTGTTGGTACAATATTATTTCTAGGTATGTCTGTGAGGGTGTTTCTGGAAGAGACTGGCCTTGGGGTTAGTGGACTGAGTAAGGAAGGTCCACTCTCACCCAACATGGTGGGCACCACTTAATCAGCCGAGGACTGGAGAGAACAGAAGGCAGAAGGGGGTACATCTGCACTCGTCTGCTCACCTCACCCCTCCCTCTCTCAGAGCTGGGGTACCCTTCTCCTTCCTCTAGGGACCGGAACTCGAGCTTCTCTGGGATTTTGGACTCCAGGACTCACAGTAGTGGCCCCCTAGATTCTCAGGCTGTTGGTCTAGGACTGAGCCACCCACCTGGGCCTCTCGCTTACAGGTGGCCTATCGTGGACCGTCTCAACCTCTGTAACCACTGAGCTAATAGCCTAATTAATCTCCCGCTCATCCACCCACCCACGCCCCCATTTCCTTRTCTCCTATCCGTTATGCTTCTCTGGAAAACCCAGATTAATACACCCAACCAGGCCCCCCCACCCAGAGTCCCTGGCACAAGTGAACACTGCTTCTGGGGTGGGAGGGGGCGCTCCTGCGACCCCCCAGCATGGCCCCGTGTGGAGAGGAAGTGGATGGGCTGCTCCCACGTATCTGATCTTGGGGACACCCTACGTATGGTGGCGGGAGAGGCTGGACTTGGGCCCACTGTGCTACCTTCTCCCGGCCATCACAGTGGGCAGCACCCACAGGACCAGCATCTGGAAGCCATTTCTGAGGAGGCCAYCCCAGGCAGGCACCACCCCGAGCTTCTGAACTCGAGGCGCTGAGGAAAGGGCCCTCAACAGAAGGGGAGGGTGGGACTATGTCCCGGGGAGTCTGGGGACATTACAGGAACCTTCTTTGTCTCTCCAACCTGAAGGAGGGCTACGGGCATGCAGGGGCAGTGGGGGTCCGGGAGGGGGGCCAGGGAGGCCAGGGGCATGAACCACGGGAGACAGGTCTACGGGGTCAAGCTGTCCTATTTGGCACGTCTGAAATGTCCTGATGGATGTTCTGGCAACTGAAAAAAAACAGGGACCTRMRCYTTGAGCTTATAAATCTTGATTTTTACTCATCAAAGTCATTTTCAATGRTTTTTGGTAAATACTTAATTTGCTGGTGAGTCCTGGGAACTGAAGGGCGCTCTTCAGAACTCTGTCGGGAACCATCCCTTGTTCGGGGAACACACGGTGATGCTGGTGGCCCCTTCAGCCTGCCACTGTCATTGAAGGGCCCAGGGCTGCTCTGTATGGGGCGCCTGGCTCTTCTAGAACCTTCATGCCAAAACACTTGCGTATGGGAAGCTGCGTTCTTTCACAAGGAATCCCTTCTATTCTCCTTTCTGTTCATCAGGGCACTATGGAGACTATTTTCTTAACTTGAGTGTAGGTAGATCGTTTTTGCCTATCAATTTCATTTCAGGCTGTGGCAGACAGCCCCTAAGATGGCCCCAAGGATCCCACTGCCCTATGTTCATGCTCCCCAGCCCTGAAAATCCTTGCTGTTTTAAGCTGCTGAGTTTGGGAGAAATTTCAGAGCAATGGACAACTGATACAAGGGCCCAGCAGCCAGGTGGAGTCGGCTCTAGGTGAGGCGAGGGGCAAACTGTCGTGCCAAGCCACATTCCTTCCCTAAGATCCAGGTGTGCCGCACACCTGCCCTCCCACCACGTCAGAGCTCTGGGTGGAAACTGTCCTGCGGAGGACTTGCTCCTTGGCAAGATGCCTCGCTGTCATGTGCCATGATGTCACCCAGCCCACGGAGCCAAGGGCTGCAGCCCACACAGGGATGAGGCCACACTGGAGGCCCCAGGGACCCCTGTCTGGGCTCCTGTGCCTTTTCCTCCTCCCCCAGCTCCCACCTGTCTTCTCTGCTTTCAGGTGGCCCTCTTTCTCTTGCTTGCTCTAAAACCAGGGACTCTGCTCCCTAGAACGGGGTCTGCCACAGTAGGGAGAAAGGCTCAGTGGAGTGCAGGGCCTGAGTCCCSCGCAGGGACCACTGGACACGTGCTCTGGCTTTTCCAAGGTCTCTCAGTAGCAGAGTGTCCAACGTGAGGTTTCAGGGGAGGGAGGCATGTGGGTAGAGGTGGCACCTGCCATCGCTGGGTCAGGGACAGGCAGGCAGGGGTCCTGTGTCTCTGCAGGAGCCTGACCAACCCACACCTGGGGCAGGAGGGGGACTCACCGCGATGAGCACAATGACAGACAAGGTGTAGTACACGGAGTCCCGGCACACGGCCCACCACGTCAGACGCACCACCTGCCGAGCACAGGGCCTCAGCTGCTGCTGGCTGGGGTTGGAGGCAGGGAAGAGCTTCCCAGGCCCCTCGTAGGTGCAAGGACATGCCCCGGGATCCTCCCAGGCCACCGGGCCCTCCCTCACACTTGGGGAGGAGATGGGAGCCAGGGCATGTGCTCAAGGGTTGGTTAAACCTCCCCCTGCTCCTCAGAGGTCGCAGCATGGCCTGCCTCTCCAAGGTCAAGTCTAACGTCCCTCCAGGACCCTGAGGACACAGCAAGCCAGCCTCGGGCCTGCAGGAGGCCAGATGGTTCCGGAATCTCCCAGGGCCAGGGTTACAGGAGGCACTCCTTAAATGGCTGCGGTTGTCAAAGGAAAGCTCGGCCTTGGACTGGCCACGGTGGTGACCCTGTACATCCCAGGCCCCAGAGTGTCGGAGGACAGGGAACCCGGGAAGCTGACGCGCTCCAAGCCACCCACCTGGCCAGCAAAGAGTCCACAGACCCCAATAATACACAGGATGTTGAACACGGCCGAGCCCACGATGGTCCCCACCCCGACGTCGCCGTGGGTGATGAAGACACCTAGAAAGGAAAAAGCCCGGGCCTGGCTGCGTGGCTGCCGGGGGAGCAGGTCCTTCCCACCCCCCGACAGCACCTGGACGTCAGTGGGAATGGGGAACCCGACGGGTGGAGGGGCCCCGGATCAGCGGCTCTGACGCTCCCCGCTTTGCGAGGGGCTGTATTGGGGTGTAATCCACAGGCCATAGGATTCGTTGACCCGGCCCAATTAGAGAATCGTGCAGCCAAAGCCACGATCTAATTGCAGGGTGGTTAAACCTCCCGAATGGGTCAACCCCATGCCCACCAGCTCCCCTAAGGCACCCACCGAATCTACCTTCTGTCCCCCGCTTCTGCCTTGGGATGGACAGATGAGAATGCAGCTCAGAGCTAACATGCCACCCCGCTGCTCTGGGCGCCAGAGCCCTGTGGACCCCCGCCTCGTGGGCTGCCCGGGGTTCCTCACCGATGACCGAGGCAAACAGCTCTGGCGTGGAGCTCCCTGCGGCCATGAAGGTGGCTCCTGCCACGTCCTCGCTCAGGTGGAGTTTCTGAAACAGAAGGGACCACAGGCCCTCAGAGTGGGACGCGGGGTGCTGGACGTCACGAGGACATAGAAGCAGGGAGCTCCAGGAACATGTGCTGGGGAGCCCAGCTCCCGGCTGGCAGCCTCTCCTCCCTGTGTCCGAGCACACGCCTCCATGCTCTGCCAGGCCTCCGGACACGAGCCCCTTCTCCCATCCTTCTCCCATTTCTGCTCATCTCCAAGGCCCCTGGGAACTGTCCCCTGGATGAAGCTCTGGCACCCCCCAGAGCCAGCCAGCCCCCATTAGACTCTGTTATTGAAACGTGGATTATACGGGGAGGGTCTGTAGTGCCCACGGTCACCCTCCCTGCTGCAGCCTGAGAGCGAGACTGGCCTGTGTCACCTAGAACAGGGTGGGGCCTGCAGTGGAGCCCACCAAGAGCCCACAGTCTAGACACCGTCACGGAGGCCCTGTCCAAGAAGGTGGGGGTTGGCACCTAGGGGCCCCCACAGCCTGGTCTCACGTTCAGGAGACACGCTCTCCGTGGTGAGTCTTCTTGTCACCCCAGCTCACAGAGGCCCTGTCCCCTGGATTAGCTGACACCAGACAAGCTGGGGGCTCTCCAAGGCCCACTCTGTGTGGGGAAGCCACGCTCTGGACKTGGAGGGTCACCCGGATGTAGGATGCAGGGCTGGGGCTTAAGTTTCCCTCCCAAGGAGCCCCTGCAATCCTGGGCTCTGGGGCCACCACGCCAGCCCTGGGCCACGCCCCTCCTCACTGACCAGCTGCMGAGGGGTCCTCTGAGGGTCAGAGGTTTGGACCTGACACAGGCTGGAGCCACAGCGCTGACCCCCAAGGTGGAGGCCCAGCCACCACCAAAGAGGAGGGGTTCACAGAAAGGCTCTGCCGCTCCCTGCTCTGTGTGACACCAAGCTGTCTAAGCTGGGCCCGGCAGCGGGGACGTCGTGGGCAAGTGCCTGCTCCTAGTAGCCATGTTCCCTCCTGCCAGCGTCACAGCAGCACGGCACCCCCAGGGGCCTCCAGGGGCCCAGATCCCCACTGTGACCTGCCACCTACAGGGAATGAGCAGCACTGGGCACCCTGGCCTGCCAGGTGGGACACACGCCTGGCCACCCAGGAGCCCGACATCCGCCAAGAGCCGGAAGAGGGTGCCCTCGGCCAACACCGATTGAGTGGCTGCAGAGAAGCGTCACCATGGGACCAACACCAGCTGCTTAGAGTGACGGTCTTTACCACCAGAGCATTCCCCAGCCTTGTCACCCTGTCATTCACAGGCCACATGTCCTCACACCTGTCCCTCCCACGTACCTCACAGATCTTCTCTAGGGACGGAACAAAGAAGTCATCGCACACGATGGCCAAGGCGTAGAACATGTACAGAGCCTGCCAAGGGAAGAAGATACATGGGGTCAGTGAGGGCCCCTGTCGCAGCCCAGCAGAGGCCAGGGGCAGATGGGGGCCCAGAGGAAACCCCAGCACCCTCAACTCCTCCCTGGCCCATGGGAAAACTGAGGCCCAGAGGAGCCATAACCTGCAGTGAAGAGGATCAAACCCGGGCTCCCCGGGCCTGTGCATCTTCTCTTGGGATGCTGTCCYCGGTTCCTGGCACACAGCCCCTAAAGCCCTGGGTCTGTGGTGTCTTTTGTGGGCTAATGACATGACTGGTGGCAGGGCCCCTCGGTAGCTTCTCCTTGGGGGATGGATTAGAGGTTAGGGACCTCACCCCCTCCCCCCTAACCTGGGGGCCAAGGCTGACATAATCAATCTTGCCTATGTTAAGGAAGCTTCCAAAAACCCCGAAGGGCAGGGTCCCAAGAGCTTCAGGGCAGCRGAGGTGCCTGGAGGGTGGTGCACCCAGGAGATGGCGGACTCTTTGCTTGTCCAACCCAGACGCCTCTTCTGAAAGAAGCGGGTCTCTCCTGGCMGCAGAGGCTGCCCTCAGAGGCAAGACAGAACCAAGAAGGAGGGCGTTCYGAACCACCTCCCGGAACATGCCAATACGCCTGGCCTGCAAGCAGCGTCCTTGCTACTGACTGTCCACCCTCCGCCAAGAAAAAGGGGGACTCTGGTCACCCTGTGAGCCAGCGTTTCCTGGGTCCTGCTGGCCTCTGCACACATGGAAATCCACGGTCCCTTTGCCTGGGGAGGCTCACAGCACCCAAGAGCCCTGGTCCTAATACTGGTYGTGGGACTTCTGTGCCACATGACTTTGGACAGGTCGTGGTCCTGGGTCTCCACTTGTTCTCTGTTTAACGACGATGCATGAGCAGATCGGTGGTTTTCAAGTGGTTGTCCAGCTGGGCCCTTTCCCTGCCCATCTATCCAGTAGGGCCTACCTGCGTGCCAGGTGTGGGTGCCTGCAGCAGGGATTTGGTGACAGAGCACAGAGCACCAGGCAAAGCCTCTGCTGCTGGTGACCGCCTTACAGCCAGCGCGAAGCCCTGAGGCATCAGGGTGCTTGACAGACCAGCAAGGTCAAGGTGGGGGCAGAACAGAGTGAGGAAGGGGAAATGGAGGACGGGGGAGGCAAGGCAGGGGGCCCTGGGAGAGGAGGGTCTGCTGCCCTCTGCTGGGCAGGGAYGTCCTGTCTGCAGGAAGAGAGGAGCCGGGAAGCTCCCGCCCACACAGCCCAACACCCGAGGATCTCACAACTCATCTGATAAAATAAAGTGGACAGGACACTCTCTAAGGCCACAGCACCCCAGGCAGGTCTGTCTACTGGAGTCCATGGGTGACAGTCCCTGGATGTGACTCGTCAGCTTCTGGACAGAAGCAAAAAGAAACCAAGTGTGGGGCTGTGGACAGAGGGGAGGGCAGCAGGAGAGACCCTGCCACAGACCTCGGGAATCTGGCTCGAACTGGCACCCGGGGCGCCACATGGTGTCTCTCCTATGACCCCCACGGGAACAGAGAAGAAAGAGGAGCCAAGATGGTGCCACAATTTCCATTCCTTGTGCCAGGAGGGCRGGAAATTTCTAGTACTGCAGACCCCTGGCTCCCCTGCCTGAGGTGCGCATTCCCTAAAGGAGTCGTCTGGCAGATTCCCTCCGTAGAGGGTTAGATGATCATGTTTTTGACTTTGTAGGTCCAAGGGTCTCCATGGCAACTCCTCTGTTCTTGGAGAGCCAAAGCAGCCCTAGAAGGGGTGTGGCCATGGTCTAACAAAATGTGACTGGTGAGAACAGGCTTGGGCTGGACTTGACCCTCCAGCCAGAGTGTGGTAAGAGTCCTTGCAAAATTCCTGARGTTGTTTTGTCTTCGCTCTGCCAAGACTTCCCTGGGACAGGGCCACAGAGCTACAGGGCCAATCAGCCAAACTCGCACCACCTCAGTCAAAGGGGAAGTGTAGAGTCGGAGTCACCAGAAACGACTCCATTACTACAGAAATAATATACATGCCCGCCCTTCAAACTCTGCCTGTAATCCTCACTCTAACCCTTCATTTTCATTAGAGGTTTAGCCTATTAATTGAAATTTCACTCACTCATTCCTCTCCGGCTGTCGCTGTCAACGTGAGAATCCCAGATTTTACTTTCTTAATTATCTCTTATAAAAGACTAATGTCTGCCTGGGATTAAATATACAAGCAGATGGTGCTGGGCGGTTGGGCTGTGATCAGAAGGGAAATTTGCTGTGGTTGATCCAAAGTAGCAAAGCGAGCCTTGCCCTGCTTGTCTCCCAACTCCATTCCACCGAGTCAACAAATGGTTTCTTGGAAGGGCCAGAAAGTAAATATTTTTGGCTTTGGGGGCCACTTAGACTCAGATGCACCACAGCAGAYGTGGAGAGCACAGAAATGAATGGGAGTGCTGTGTTCCAATAAAACTTTATTTACAACAACAGGCAGTGAAACATGCATGGCTGGGCCTGGAGTTTGTCTGCCCTATTACGGAGGCACCATCTATGATTTCAGTTGGAACCCATTATTCCCTTTATGACTTGCTATTTGAACTTCACCATGTGTTATCAGGGCCCATCTGCACATGGAGGGAAGTTTGAGAGGAAGTGCAAGGGTTTCAACTGTAGGTAAGTAAAGGTGGGCAACTTGTCTGGGGTGGGGGTTATATGTCGTGCAGGGGTTGACACCCTTGACCTGTATTTATTGGCTCACGGTTACACATCAGGAAGAGGTGCTGTCATGCACCATYAGAAAAGCAGAGAGCAGACAGGACTGAACCGCTCTCTGTGATGTGAGTCACCGAGCACACTGGAGATACCACCTCTCAGTGAGCAAAACGGTTTTTGGTATCTGCTTTTTTCTCGGGGCTGTGACAAGGACTAAATGGAATCTCTCAGGGGCTGTGGCAGACAGGTTTTAGGTGTGTGACATCCTGCCCGCAAGGACCACTTACACCGAGGATGTGCAGCAGGACAGCTCCGTGCTGTCGCTCCTTATTGGAGAACAGGTCTGTGGGGAACTCGTGGATGGCTGGAAGACAAGAGGAGAGGACAGAGGGTTAGGAATCAGCGGGCCCCCAAACCTCACTTGAGACCTGGGAGTCCAACAAGGAATTGTGGAGTCCACTGGCTTCGGGCTGACGAGCAAGAAGGTCAGCTATTTCTCAGCCCAGGGCAGATGAGTGCTCTTAGGAAAAGGTGCTGGAGACTAGATTATACCCAGCTACTCTAGCACCTTAGAATCCATCGTGTTTTAGATATTTTGAAAAACTATACARAATACTTTACACACACCAGGATGGCTACAGCCCAAAAGACAGAATAAATGTTGGCAATAAGGAGATATCAGAATCCTCATACCATGTTGGAGGGAAGGTGACACCGAGTGGCTTTGGGAGTTCATCAAAAGGTRGCAGTGACCAYGGGACCCAGCAATTCCATTYCCAAGTGTACATCTTAGATAAATGCAAGTGCATGCCCACAAACTTGTGCACAAATGCCCATAGTTGTATKCATAAGAGCTAAAATATGGATAATAATATGGAAATAATCTGAGGCAAACACTCAGGGTTCAGGCACCATCCCCTCCCAAGCAGCCCGAGCCACTCATCAGCCTCTGAATGCCCTGGGAATGGAGACTGATCCCTTCTTCCCACCACCTGAGATGACCCATGGGGGAGCACTCTCACAAACACATGCCAAAAGGACACTCCCAGACCCCCTCCAGTTCTTATCACACTAGAYAGACTAGAAACTTCTGAAAGACAGTGACCCTCACTGCCCAGTTCACCACCGTGTCCTCAGTGCCYAGGCCAGGCCTGGCACATGGGTTCTTAATTGACTTTAACAATCAATTAAATAAGCAACGGCAAAATGYTAACCAAAATGACAATCTATGTTGTTTCATCCTGTGACAATGCTGTTAACCCTGCCAGCCCTCCAGGTACCTGGAGTGACAATAGGCTCATAATAGACACTCAATTAATGCTTGCTAACTGGACGTCCAGGACAGAAATCCCTTCTCTGTAAATGTCATTTGCCATAAGCTTTGACAATGATGGTTTCTCCCTCATAYGGAAACTTTCCTGATTTGAACATCAGATTCTACCAACAACAAAGAACAGTTCCCCAAGCACCTAGAAAAGAATGGATTCTTTCATCTCTCCCTCCCTCTCTCCCTCTCTCCCTGTAATCCAACTCCCTTAATACAGTTGCTGCTGCCAGTTCAAGGGCATGGATCTGCTGCAAGGATTTTCTGCCTGGAGATGAGAATTACTAAGGAAGAGATTCGGCCGTCTCGCTGCCAGGGTCTTATTTCCAGGATGAATGGAGCTGCCCGGGATGGTTCAGTGCAGATCAATAGACATTTCTGCCAGGAGAATTTGAGGCATGTCCCGACTCTGCAAACCATTGTTTTGAGAGCTGGCGATTTATCCAATCCTGAGAYGTCTCTGAGAATCAAAATAAAGTCACGCTGCTGAGGACACATCACCTGGCCTCCAGCAGGGAGGGGATGTGGGTTATAAGTGGCTTTGCCCTTGGTCGGATCCGACTCCTTGCTCACTCTCCTGCCTTGCTCAGCTCTCCCTGATGTACGCTGGAGAGCCACAGAGGTGTCTTGACATTGCCATCAAGGGCAGCAGGTATGGGACCCTCAGACATACCCGCCATTCTCAGTGCCCACCCGAGTCTTCTGATATACCCTGAACCCAGGGGGCTGGCACTACGGCCTTATGCATGCCTGTTTTCGGGTGAGGCTCAGAGAGGGACATGACAAGCTCAGGGAACCCAGCCACACAGGCCAAGACTGGRAATTATGGTGCATTGTGGATCGGAGGCTGGCTTGGCCACTCATAGACTTAAAATGGCCTGGTCATTTCTCCAGTCTGTCCCTCTGTCTCTTCAGTGGCAATCTGCTGCTCCTTACTGGGTGTGGCATGCCCTAACCCTGATGTCCAAGACTGCAGCCCACAGAGGACCACTCCCCACTCCCAGCCGGTGGCTGGTAGCTGGGACCAATTCTCTCCTCTCTTTRGGACTTGAATCCTCCAGCAGCCGGCCAGGTGGCAGGGGATCCCTGTCCCTCCCACCTTGGCCACCRAGAGCAATAACTGCAGACTGCAAATATGTTGTATGTTAGGCACTGCAGACAGAATTAGGTTTCGGGAAGTGCTTCTGCCCTTATGACCTGCGTGACCTTGGCAATCTGCTAACCCCCAGGGCCATACCCTCTYGGAGCCAGGATCACAACAGACCCTGGTGTCCTGAGGACTCCGTGCAATGGCTCTGAGGATCRTTAGCTCATGGGGGACGCTGACCCCAGGGCTCTAGAGGACACAACTTTGTACAATAACAATAGGGAAAGCAGAAGTGGCCCGGAGGGGAGAGGACGGCAGGAGAGCAGAGGACAGGAGAGCAGATTCCACAGCTGCAGAGAAGCCATGTGGCCCAGGTTCCCAAGGAGACCTTCCTCCTCCCCCCCTGCTCCCAGGACTGGAAGCCCCATCTAGGTCTGAGAGGGGCGGAGCCTGTCCCTGCTGCTCAAATCCCCGCCCCATCCCCCCCCCCCCAGGAGAAAGGAATGAGCGGGGCACACACATGGCTTTTGAGGTCATACACATGGCTTTTGAGGTCACACACATGGCTTTTGAGGTCGTGCCTAAGCCTTTAAGCTGCAGGAATCCAGGGGCATGGGGACGGGGAAGGCAGAGATTTGTCTGCAGGTGGAACCGAGCTCAGGGAACTCAGGGACACAGGGATGATCCCAGGCTCTGGGAGGGAGGAGGAGGGAGGGGACAGGAGGCAAGGCAGCTGCTCCCTACCCCCCTGTTAAGGTTCTTGCCTTTGCACCTTGGTACCGAGAGAGTGACTTCTCTTCCTTCTTGGCCTTGGACACGCCCAGGTGTCCTTGCAGGCCAGATGTGTGCCTCCCTCCACATGACGGGCCTGGACTGTGCGCAGCACCCAGGGCACTGCAGRCAGGTGGCTCCTGCCAGCTGCCCTCCCCACATCAGAGRGGAGCCCTAAGGGCCCTGGACAGAMGCATCTCCAGTGCCYCCAGCACCCTGCACACGGGCACTCAGGTCCTCAAGGCACAGCTGAGTTTTCTTCACTCACAAAAGCTGCCCACGTGAGGCTCTGAACCGCCCTGCRAGGCTCTGCACCTCTGCCGACATCGCTGCTAGTTGTCAAGTACGAATTATCCAACCGATATTTACAGAGCCGCCCCTGCCCCCGAGACTGTGTACCCTGAGCCTCCCTGAGCCTCCCTGAGCACATGGCTTCATCTCAAAGGTGATTTGACTTTCAGAGAGCACAGAAGCTGCTCCAAAGGCAGGAGGTCATCGGGATGGAGGATACCTTGATCCTGAAAGGGCGGGGTCAGWATGTGTTTCTTGAGCATCTGCTATGCACCAGGCACCAGGTGAGTGCCGTTTCCCAGACGTGGCCTTACTGTACGCTTGGCCTGGTGCAGACGGACAAGTCATCAAGGACGGACAGAGTAGGAAGCTTTTCATGATGGCRAGGAGTGGACTGGGCCAGCAGTCACTGAGCAGGGGAGGTGGAGGACATGCAGGGAGCCGGTAAATACAGCGGCACCCATGTCCAGTTCCAAAGGTTGCGTTTCTAACTTTTCAAAGCCCCTTGATCTCTCAGGCGATCCCGAGAAGCTCACTGCTCCTACTTTACTGATGTGGACACAGAGACCCTGAAAGCCTCAAGTATTTCCTAGAGTCACGCAACCAGGCAGCACAGGCTCTTCCCCATGAGCATCTAACTGATAACAGGCGCGTGTCTCGGGGCGAGTCTCTTTACCAAGCGGCTCTGGCCCTGGAAGCTCTGAGGCCATGGCCAGCAGCCAAGTTCCTAGAGGGAGGAAATCAGCTCAGTTCTGCCCGAGGCCCGGGACCCACTCAGACCGAGGTCAAGACACCTGTCACTCACCTTCCTTCATCTCCTTGAAGCATTCAACAGAACAAACCACTCCTTGTTCATGTATTAATGACTGTACGTATGAATGGACAAAAGGACCTGTGGACTGTCCATCTGTCCGTGCATATTACACCCATGTTACATTTACATACAGTAAAACTCACTCCTCAGGCTGCAGCTCTATGGGCTGTGAGAACCGCATGGACCTTCACATCGGCCGCCACACCCCCAGGACACTCCATCCCTTCCCAAACTCCCTGTGCTGACCTYTTTAGTCACCTCCTCCTGCTCCCCAACCCTGGCCACCAGTGATGTCTGCCTTCTCTACACTTTGCCTTTTCCAGAATGTYCTATGGATGGAATCGTGTCACGTGCAGCCTTTCTGGTCGCATCTCATACATAGCGAGGTGCCTGGACGTCCACCCGCGTCGTGTGAGCCCACCTCGCGAAGCGTTCTTGCTTGGACCCTCCAGTCCCCCCTTGCCTCAGTCTCCGGTAGGGTCCCCTGAATGCTGCTGCTCCTGGGGCCTTGTCCCCAGCCCTCTTCTCCCTCTTCTCGGCTCTGACCTTTAGTCTCCACAGGCCTCTCTCAAACTTTGGTCTTTGCCAAGCTCAAGACCTGATCTCCGGGCAGCTGCTGGACACCCTTCCTTGGCATCCTGAGCACCGAAGCCCAGCCCCAGGGAATGGCCCGCCAGCCATCTCAGGGTGCAGGAGGGAAATGGGGGCGCTGTCGTTGAAGCCTACCCCTTCCTCACAGCTCATGATGGGGGGACGGCCACCTAGCACTCAGGGTCCCTTCCCACTTTCTCGTGGGAACCTGCCAAGGGGGCACAGCTACGGGGTCGGGCTGGGTGCTTCACRGTCACACGTGCTCAGGCCTGTGTCCTGCTCTGAGGAGCCTCAGCTCCCTGGCAGCCCTGGCCCTGTTGACCCAGGAGACYCTGGGGGCAGGAAAGAGGCAGCACACTCTTCTTGCTGCAGTTGGTCCTGGAGACCAGGGCTACGGAGAGGGCCAGGAAGCTCTGCCGGCAGGAGCACCCGCTCCCTTAGTCGGCGCAGAAGGTTTTTAACTTGATCRTTCCATTGCCCGCCCAT